GGTTAGCAATCCCGACAACGAGAGTCTGAACATCAAGATCTACGACCAGAAGACCGGAAACGATATTGGCCAGTACACTTACACCCTCAGCACTCTGCTCAAGCAATTCAACATGGAGGTTATTCAGCAGCCTTTCCAACTTCAGAAATCTGGTCCGGAATCGAAGCTCTATATGTCGCTTTCACTCCGGATCCTTAAGCCCGGTGAAATCGACAAGGAATCGGATGCCTTGGAACAGGTGGCGGCCCTCACCCGCAGCAGTTCTGTGAAAACACCAGATGTGGCTGTAGTGGCACCTCCAGCATTTAAGGTGGGCTAAATTCCTCTTTTAGTATTTACTAAATTCAAACAGCATTAAAAATTAAAAAACATTTATAAAAATCTTAGTGATAATAATTTTCTATCATTACTTAGGCATCACTTATAGGTTTTTGAGATTTCAAAATAGGTTTTATAAGGGAAAACCAAAATTGTATTTATACTAAGAAGCTTTGATTAAGGCTTTCCTCATATTATACCCCACCTTATCTGTACTCTCATGAAAAATAGTTTTTTGTCAAGCCCTATTTTAATCAAGAATGTTTGCCCGACGCAATTCAACGTCCTCGATAGTATAGTGGTTAGTATCCCCGCCTGTCACGCGGGAGACCGGGGTTCAATTCCCCGTCGGGGAGAATCGAAGATTCTTTTTTTTTTTAAGCTAATCTTTTTTTTTCGTTCTTAAAACTTATAATGAACATAATATTTATTTTTAAAAATGTCATTTATAACTATAAATACTAGATACTGATTTTATAGGGCCTTATATGTTACTCTGGGCAAATGTTGTTACAAGTTTTCATTTTTCATTGCCTTTAGGAATCTCAGACATCCAGCAAGCGTTTGTCCGCCGAGTCGCCCATCAGTGAAGAGGATCCTGCAGTGGTTACGAAAATCTCCCCTGCCATGTCGGCCTCCACCTCCAGCGAGAAGCCCATCAGCGAGCTGGCCGCATCCGTGCTGACCCATCGCTTCCCGGACTCCACCTCATCGCCTGGTGAACATGGCCTTGGGCGGATGCAGTTGTCGATCCGGTACAGTGCCCAGCGTCAGAAACTGGACGTGACAATTCACAAGATTCAGAAGATACCACTACGTGATCCCAGCAACATCCCCGATCCATATGTGAAGCTATATCTGCTGCCTGGTCGAAGCAAGGAGTCCAAGCGAAAGACGGGTGTGATTAAGGACAATTGCAATCCTGTTTACGATGCATCCTTTGAGTACCTGATTTCCATTGCCGAACTCAGGCAACGGAACTCGAGGTGACGGTGTGCACACAAAAGGGATTTTTATCCGGTGGCAGTCCCATCATAGGCATGGTAGGTACTCGAAATCAACCCCTAAGATTAAACCACCCCGAAAGTCCTGCACATCCTTAAAATTCCCAAGTGCTTTTTCTGCAAGGATGCAGTATAAATAGGGAAGAAACTCACTTGAACTTCGTTCTTGCTTCGGCAGAACATATACTAAAATTGGAACGATACAGAGAAGATTAGCATGGCCCCTGCGCAAGGATGACACGCAAAATCGTGAAGCGTTCCACATTTTTTTGTTCCTTGCTAACAATATATTTTTATGTCATTTCCTTTCAGCTGAAAATACCTCTGGACGATGCCGAGATTACAACACCAGCTGGCTTGAATACTTGGTTCGACTTGCAGCCTGAAATACGGCACGAGTAATGAAACCGGAATCATGCGTATGCGGAGTCTCATTACAGCACAATCAACTCAAGAACAACCTAACACTTTTTTACCAATCGCACTAAAGCCTTTTGTATTTGTTATGTGTATACTTTCTTTGGTCCCTAACCAAAATGAAACAAAACTCTCTTAGTCGTGCCTCTATATTTAAAACTATCAATTTATTGTAGTCAAATAAAACGAACTGTGTTTTCAACAAAGAAAGAAAGACTTTCAACTTATTGTTTTTCTTATGGTGTACCCAATCAACAATTCTAAAACAATATTTGTAAGGCAGGTACTCAAAAGCAACCCCTAAGATTAAGCCACCCCGAATATCCTGCACATCCTTAAAATTCCCAAGTGCTTTTTCTGCAAGGATGCATATAAATAGGGTAGAATCTCACTTGAACTTCGTTCTTGCTTCGGCAGAACATATACTAAAATTGGAACGATACAGAGAAGATTAGCATGGCCCCTGCGCAAGGATGACACGCAAAATCGTGAAGCGTTCCACATTTTTTTGTTCCTTAACACTCAATATTCTTTTTATAATATATAATTTATAATTAAAACAATATAAAAAAACAATACAATTCACTTTCCTACATTGAAGTTGTATGATAAAACGTATTTTTTTTAGACACAATACCAGACCCCTTCTGTTTTTTGTAAATGACAATACTATTTAAATATTTATTGAAGTTAGCTTAGACCTTTACAAACGCGATTTCTACACTGTATTACCATTCATCGCTTTTTAAGCACTGAATCACTGCAGTCGACTGCGAGATGATTTTGTGCCAGTGCTGAATTCTGTAACTGTAAGGTAGTTATTCTACATTACATTAGTTCTACATATATGTATGTAAATCAAGAGTAGAAAAAGCGCCACTAGTTTAAATTGGAACATCATGAAACACCACCGCTAGAGGTCGCTAGGAGTCACGTACTTTTATAATTCCCAACTGCTTTTTCTGAATGGAGCTAGTATATATACGTCTTTTTCGATACTAATCGTTCTTGCTTCGGCAGAACATATACTAAAATTGGAACGATACAGAGAAGATTAGCATGGCCCTGCGCAAGGATGACACGCAAAATCGTGAAGCGTTCCACATTTTTTTGTTCCTTAAACACTCAATATTCTTTTTATAATATATAATTTATAATTAAAACAATATAAAAACAATACAATTCACTTTCCTACATTGAAGTTGTATGATAAAACGTATTTTTTTTAGACACAATACCAGACCCCTTCTGTTTTTTTGTAAATGACAATACTATTTAAATATTTATTTGAAGTTAGCTTAGACCTTTACAAACGCGATTTCTACACTGTATTACCATTCATCGCTTTTTAAGCACTGAATCACTGCAGTCGACTGCGAGATGATTTTGTGCCAGTGCTGAATTCTGTAACTGTAAGGTAGTTATTCTACATTACATTAGTTCTACATATATGTATGTAAATCAAGAGTAGAAAAAGCGCCACTAGTTAAATTTGGAACATCATGAAACACCACCGCTAGAGGTCGCTAGGAGTCACGTACTTTTATAATTCCCAACTGCTTTTTCTGAATGGAGCTAGTATATATACGTCCTTTTTCGATACTAAATCGTTCTTGCTTCGGCAGAACATATACTAAAATTGGAACGATACAGAGAAGATTAGCATGGCCCCTGCGCAAGGATGACACGCAAAATCGTGAAGCGTTCCACATTTTTTTGCCAACCTGAGGTGAATAACAAACTCAAATCGTCTTGTTTTTCTGCTTTCGCCATTATTTATTATATTTCATCAATATGTATTCAATTTGGTATGTATTTTGTAATTGTAATATATAGACAATCTTTTTTTTGACGTACATACATACATCCGACGTGTGTTTATTTAGACATAATAGTTATGTTTTCAATTTTTGCTTAACGCATACAAAATTTTAAATTTTCAACACAGTTGTTTTGTTTTTATTTTTATATTCATATTCTGGTTTTATTTCAATTGATCCACTTTGGACTTTCAATAGTTTCGTGTTGTTTTTCATATTTTTGGTTCTGGTAATGCACTTGCCAAGAGGACTTCAGAGTTTCGTTGTTTGATCTCCGCAGCTTCATCAAGTCCGTCAACTATTCGGCTTGGTGAACTATCTAATTTGAATTGTTATTATCGTATCATACCTAATTTTAAAGAATTTGAAAATACATTAATATGCACTGTTATTAATATAGATAATTATACGCTTTAAATGGACACATGAATCAGGCTCTTGGTTTTTATATATTTTTTATAAATTATATTTACTTTTCAAATTGTATTCTGCTGCTTCTCTACCGAATATGAAACTTGAACTTCTTTTCCAACGTGTTTTGAGGTAGTTTGCTTAGTTTCGTTATGTATATAAAAGTTGTTTTCTCTGAAGCACAAATATATAAAGCACACACATTTACAATATCCGTAACATTTAGGTATACATTTTTTGTATTAAATATACATTTAATATAGTAATTATACAATATTAAACACTGAGGAACTGTCGTGCTTATTTCAATGCTGCTTCGCCTTGAATTCTGTTTGCTTTACTCTGTACTTTTTACACAAAGCCACCCTAAACTTAATTCTTTATTTTTGCTTGCGCTTGTACTTTGTGTGTGAGTGTATATATGGGGGTATCTGTGTGTTTTCCCGATGTGTTTCTAAAAATCTAAGTTGTAATTTTGAATTCCTATCACTTATGTATCGAGGTTAAGCTCCCAAGACGTTAATTTGAAAACCCTAAACTGATGGCCAATTTTGTGTGTTGATTTGTAATTTATGTGCGCTCAATCGTTTTTTTTATTATACTTGTTTAAGCCTAGACTAACAACTACAATTTGTTATGTCCACGTGTTCATCGCTGTGGGTGATACGAGTGCCTAAGTTCTAAGTTTTTAACTTGAATCACTTTTGTAATTTGTATTTTCGTTCTCATTCTCGATCTGTTTCCATTACCCTCAGTTAGAATGTAGTTTACCTCTCGAAAGTTAATTCTTTTGATATCAATTGAACACAACACGTTAAGCAACAAATAGCAGTAAGAAAGGCTACAAATAGTTAAAGGAAATTAAACCCAAAAGTGGAGGAACCCGCCCCAAAGAACTACACAACAAAGAAATTTGAATCAAATATCACAAAATTAGCATTGAAGCAGAGCAAAAATATTCATTTCGATAATGCAAATTAGAATAAAACTCAAAGATGTATTATTTTTTTGTTTCGTGTTTTTTCTTATATTTTTTTTTTTGGAGTAGCCCGCAATTGAAAAGTAAAACTGAAGCCTTGAAAATTTTTCATGTGTGTGCCTACAAATTAATAAATTATAATTTATATTGAAGGTATCTCATATAAGCAAATCGTATGGATAATAGAAAAACTTAAAATTATTTCCTTCTCAGTTATAGAGTTCAAGTTGTTGAATCCTACGGTTAACATCAAGAAATAAAAGCATAAAAGAAAAATTAAAATTATATCACCACGCATGTATGTATAGATAGTTATAGCATTTAAGTAAATTAATAAAGTTTCGCAAAACATTACTTTTTTTGGAAACAATCAAACTTTCTTTAACAAAATGAAAAACTTAAAAACGACAACCTAGGACCATAATATATATTAATATAGCATTTAAAACTTAACCAGATAAATCGCAGTTGTATATAACTTAATTTAAAATGATTTTTAGCATTCCAGATAAATGTTTTCCAATCGAATCAAATGAATTCAAACCCTTATTCGTTAAGCAGGTAAAACTGGTAGCAAAGTCCTACAAAAATTCACTTGCTCATCTAACACTCCGTTGCTCCTTAACAATCTTAACAGCTAAACAAAATTTTGTATTTTTACACATTTCTCATCATTTTTGTTTTGTTGGTTGCCTCTTTCTTTACGATTTTTGTTTTGTTTCTTTCAATTTGTTAATGTTGCATTTTCAAAAGGAATTTTGTTTCTCTTTTTTTACGTTTGTTTGGCTCTGGCTTTCCGGTTTGCAGTGTGGTCGCGAAAAAGTAAAAAATATTTTCTTCTATTTCCTGCCATACAAAACATACAAAGCCCAGGCTCTTTAAATCACAGTTATATCTCGGTTATAGATATTATATCACTCATGCAGAACAATTTAACAGAACGTTGGGTTTCAGGAGGGGTGGAAGAGGTTCACTAGGGATTTTCTCAAATTTCCGGTGTCAAGAAAATGTGTTCCTTTTCAGAACGATTCCAATCCAAATCCAATTTAGTCCTGTCATAGAATGGGTTTCACTTGTTGGTGGTATTGGTATGGTTGGCGCTGTTGCTGGGGCTCCTATGTAGCTCTTATATTGTTAAAACTAATCTTGATGGGCGGTTCGTTAGCTTTACATATTCTGTATTTGGTCTACGATGATTTACGCAGCTCCTCGAGGCCTCCATTCGGCATGCCGCCGCGCATATTTTCTAGAACCTTGTTCACGAAATCCGTTGAACCGCCTGCAATGCGGATTCCAGCTGCAAAAATTAAGAAAATCAAATTATTTAGAGTCAAGATAGATAGTTTAGATAGGTAAATTTCACATACACGAGGCGGTGGCGTAAATGCGTGCAATTTGTTGATCAACCTCTTCGGTTGGTTCGCCCAGATTCTTGGTGCGATGCTTGACGACCAGGGCCTGTTTAGTTCGGCTATGCCATTCATGAGGCGCTCTGCAAAATGATAAATAATGATTAATATGGATTATTATAACAAAAAATTTAATTTAAAAAATGTGTTTAGTTCAGATTTAGTGATGTTTTAGACTTACTGTGTTCAATTTCAAGGCCGAAGAGCTTATTTTGTTGGCCTCGTGCTGGGCCTTCTTCTTCAGGCGACAGGCTCGTGAGGCCAGCTTGTTCTTCTCCTTGCGCGACTTTGGGCGCACATTGAAGGGCAGCTCGGAAACTGGGGTCATGTCGTTGATGGTGCGGCTTAGCTTGTCCAATTCCTTGCCAATGTTGTGCAGCTTCCTGGCATTGGGAGTCAAGTCGTTGCCATCGCCCTTCCGGGCCTTTCCGCTGTGCTGTTAAAGGAAACCATTATTATTACATATAATATTCGATATAAATTATTTAGTTTACCTTGTACACCTTGATGCCTCGCACGGAGCACGTGGGACTGAAGACCGGGTCTGTCACCTCGTTCAGCACATGGGATCCTCGAGCTTCGATTGGAAGACCAGCCTCTTGCCCTTGGCCCCTTGGCCTGGACATTGTACTGCCAGAAGAAACGCTCTTTGCCCTTGCTACTGGACAAATGATTCGGTGTCGAGGTGCGCGTCTCATCTTCATCACCAGATAGGCCATTATCGCTGCTGAAGTCGTCGTAGTTGTCACTGTTCTCGCTCGAATTGTCATCCTCATCGTCCTGCGAGAAGTCGATGCCATCCGGGGACAAGACGCTGCCCGTGCTCAGCGAGGAGAAGCTCTCGGCCTCGGCCAGCGAGCCGGTTGAGAGTAAATGCTGTCGGGCTCTCGCCGCATCCAGATGTGCTCCAATCCCAGGTGCGTGGGAGCCGACGAGCTGAGGCGACTCAGCTGGGAGTTCTCCACGGCACTCTGGTAGCCAAAGGATTTGCGCACGGCCGATCCGGGTGTCTGATTACTGGTAGTTGTACTGTTGCCGGAAACCGAGCTGCCAAAACCACTGCTTCCCCCGGACTCAATGCAGCAGATTGACTTAGGATCGAGCGCTCTGGCGGCGAGGACATGGGAAAGCCCTTCTTGATCAGCTCTGCATGTTCCGTGACTTTACCATCTGGTACTGAGGTCATTGGCGTGCGGTGGTGGCGGTGGAGTCAGTGGCGATTGGGAGCCTGGCTGCCGGGCGAGAAGCTGGCGGATAGTGCTGCTGCTGTGGCTTTTGGGGCGTACTGTGGTATATCTCATACGGACTAGTGGAGGAACTGTTCGACTGTTGCTGTTGTTGGGTCAACGTGAGCAGCGTTTGCAATTGCGGCAGACTGCCGACCTGCAGCTGCTGCTGACTCTGGTGCTGCTGCTGCTGCTGTTGTAGAAGTTCCATGGGCGGCGCCACCAGGGCATCCTGTCCTTGGGTCTGCGGCGACAGCAAAAATTGACACTTTGAGAGACTGTGGTCTGCGGCAAGAAATCCTCTATGTTTCCGATGACATCCAGGAAATCGCCATTTAGTTCGGACAATCGGCCGCCTGGATCTCGGCCTTATCGTTGGGAAAAATGTAGTCGTCGTCCAGGCTGAATGGCTCGTGTTTGGTATGGATAATGGCACTGCTAATATCGCTCCACATGGCATTCGAGTTGGGTGTCATCTCGTAGAGCAACTCATTCTGGGCAACGGCCTCCTGGAGCAACACCTGCTCACTGACCACATTCAGGCTGAGGCTGTGCGACATGTCGGTTGGAAAGTAGCCAATACTTCCGATCCGATTCCATTGCTGCTGCCGCTCCACTTGTGTTGCCATTGTACAGCGTGGAGTTCAGCGGCGAGGCTGCACTTAGGCTCACATCCTGCAACAGGGTGGGTGAGAGTGAAGCGGCATCCAGGGGATCTAGACCAAAGTCCGATAGCTCCCCAAAGCCAAATGCGATTGTTGCAGTTGCTCTTGTTGCTGCTGCTGCTGTTGGTTGTGGTGTTGCTGCTGTTGCTGGCTGCTGCTGCTGCTGAAGCTGATGTTGCTGGTGGGTCATGCTGGGCAATGTGTGTAGAGGACTGGGATGGTGTCGAGGTGTTTGCAAATCCGACTGCTGATACGGATGATGATGGTTCTGGTTGTGGTTGCTGCTGCGTGGTATTGTTATGGCCGTTGTACTTAGCATTACATTACAGGTATTTGTGGTGCTGGTGGAGCAGTTGCTGCTACTGCTGCTGCTGTGACTACTGCTGTTGTTGTTATTGTTATTATTATTATTGTTGCTGTTGATGCTGCTGCTGCCATAGCCCGTGTTTATGGTCAACGTGGGTAGGGCCGCACCCACAACGGTGGAGCCCAAGAATACAGATCGTATTTGAGGGTGTTGTTGCTGCTGTTCGAGCCGGTGTCAAAGAATTCCGATGACATGGGATACAGCTGATTCTCTGTCATTGTATTTCGCGGCTAATCCCGCTCTGCTCGAGGATTGTAACTACTACTTCTTCCTCTCCTTCTCTAGGTGGGCGCCCAGGCCCGGCTTTGTCTTGTGGTATCTGAAAGTAGATAAATAAAACATACGAATCAGACCAGTTGCAGTGGATACGGGGAGACGGAGCCAGTTCATTAAACGAATATATTATGACTTCTATAATGGCCAGACAACCTTGGCGGCAGCCAGCATTCGCATTTCCAATCTCATTGACTATAGTCACCATAGTGACTGGTTTTTCAATAGCCATCTATTGAGACATTTTACGTTCAGCCCAATTCCGATAGTGGTGGCATTTATGCTAAGTACCCTTGCAGCTGTTATCTAGCCGGAACCAAAGTTTAAGACCAAGCCAAACCCAAGGCAAGACTATAATTGATGGTCCACGTGTTACAAGTTGCCGGTCCCAACACGTGATAGAATAGATAAAAATATCTACATAATTACCACGGGAATGGTAATTGCATTGAACCTCAGGGCTACTAAATAATTATGTTAAAATGCATTTAAGGCAGTTGTTATTCTCGAATTACTATAACTTTCCCTATTCGTTATCTTTTTATAGTATCTCTTATATAATATAAACTATTGTGAAAACAACTTGCTATACCAGTAAAAACCTAACAGATAAACGCAATCTGAAGAATTTGCAAATCTGAGAGCCAACACAACACTATTCAAATTTTGTTATTGTTATGGCTATCGCCATTTTCGGGCAAGCCGAAAGGTAGAAGAAACAACAACGATAGGCCCCTTCTACTGTCTCCTCTACCCAATAATTTTTACTGATTTGGCGAACAACAAATTTTTGAAAGCAAAAAGGCAGAGAAATCATCCAAAGTCTTGATTTGCCCATCAAAACAACAAATGGAACTAGAAAAGAGGAAAGCAAAAAATAGAAAACAATAATGAATCGAAATGGCAAACTTTTTGCAAATTTAGTGAGCCGTTTTCGGGTTTCATTCGATTCTTTCGGTCCATACCACTTCTCTATCAGGTGAAAGGCCTCAGGGGGCGAACCTGACCTGCTAATGTTGTTTTCCATTTTGTGGTTCGATAATAAATATTAATTAGTTTGTTTACAAATGAAAATACAACATTCTCGTTTACCATTTAATGTCATAAATCAGGAACGAAAAGTGCATCTAGTATAAGGGATTTGGCAAAAATTTGCGCCGTGAATTATGGAAAATTCGGGGAAATGCCATGAGGAGGAACACATTTGAATTAAAGGTGAGCCGGAAAATGTGAACTTAAATGTTTTTCGTGTTCACCACATCATCTAATACTATATCGACCCTCATCGAACTCTATCTTGATCCCCCCGATTGGCTTATCTTTCATCCATTACAACCGATAAGTGAGCACATTCCAGATGATAAGGTCTCTGTTTTACATTAGCCAATGTTTCGATTTGAACTTTGTAATGCCCGGTTCCAAGATGTGAAGGTCACTCGATGTGTACGAACCGACAGTTTTTTATGGGATGGTAAGGGGGCGGGCTGTGGAGTGGGGAACCTCTCGATATACAAGGCAAACACAGACTCGAGCCCAGACCAAATTCTATTTTGCTAAGTGATATGCCTGTATTTCTGGCTTCTTTACATTATTGCTATTTCCTCTTGAAATTGTTTAATATTCGTCAGAGGTAGCTGAACGCGTTGAAGGCCAAACAATAAAAAAAACAACCGAGAACCGACCAAACCGAACCAAACACCAAAACATAGGAACCGAAACCCGAATGGGTAGCTTATATACATATACAGATATGTACAAGGTACATATATACTCGCCAAACCGAGTATCAAACATGGAAATAGACGCAAAGGGGCAAATAAAAAAGAATTTATTACAGATGGGCTGCCGAAATAAAAAACCAGAAAGAGCCCCAAGTGGAATCGTACGAAAAAGTGAAGAAGACGAGCAAACATGGAGGAGCCCACAATAAAAGATAAACAGAGAATACTATATAATGAATAATAATACCATTAAAAAATTCCCCACGCACACAGATACCGGGAGTTAATGAACGCGAAATGTTTGGTGGGGAGAAAACGGGGCAGCCGACGAACATCTGATCCAAAGCATATGATATCGCAGGCAGAAGTGCGAGAATCGGGCAAAGTAAATATGAATAGGTAGCACACTGTACAATACTTTTGATCCTCCTTTCGATATACTTACTAAGGGAATTTTTTTAAAAGCTAACCTTTTTTATTTTTATTTTTACTTTTTTTTTTTTTTTTCAATTGTAAAGAACTGATTAAGAATATAAAGGAATTAAGGTTAGACTTATAGATAGATAGATTTTAATAGATCTTCATCTAAAGATATCAACAAGTAGCACAGTACATACTTTGATCTACTTTCGATATACTTACTAAAGGAACTTTTTTTTATAGTTTACCTATTTTTATTTCTTTTATATAATTTTTTTTTTTTTGTAAAGAACTGACTAAGAATATAAAGGAATTAAGCTTAGACTTATAGATAGATAGATGTTTAAAAGATCTTCATCTAAAGATATCAACAAATCTTCTCTTTAAGGAAGTATTTACTGTATCTCTATGACCAAAGTAAACTAATTAAAGCCGAGTGGGAGGCACGTGAAGAGCCTTTAGAAGGTAATTCATTAGGGGGTAAAGTACAATTCTCCAGTACGAGGCGTGACCAATATACGTTATGTGACTAATTCCCAACAATGAAAGGGAAATGAAAATAAAAAGAAATCCAATTTAATTTCAGCGATATTATAAACACATGCACGGCTCGTGCGGTCGTACCAGCTTATTTCAACACACGATGAAATAATGCAACAAATATAACAATTATCGAGGAAATCTAGCTAAAAAAAATATATATTAAGTAAACTGTTAGCGTGGCTTGCTATCAACAAATTAAGTGGAAGAGAGCCCAGCCGAAAAGAGAGAAAGCGCCGAGAGAGCACACGGATTTTAAGCAAACCCAAGGTCAAAACTGTTTATTTTTTATATTTTGTTTTGAATGTATAATTTATCGCAGAGTTGCCTTTGTTTTCCACTCACCCATACAGGGAAATAAGCTGTAGAGTTGTAAACAAAACGCGAAGCTTGTAAATAAAAATAAAGCTTCGGCGAGAGCGTGGGCGCTCTTGGTACTCTCTTTTACTCTGGATCTGAGCAACATATGTTTTCCGTCTATTTGCTTTTGTCGCCATCTTCGTAGACTTTAGTTATTTATATGGGCATGTGTATGTGGACACGTGTGTATGTAGTGTTTGTGTTGGGTATATATAATATAAAATTAAGCTTTTTTGTAGCTTTGCTTGACTGACGAGTTTTGTCTGTTGTCGTTTTGTTGTTGCTGTCTTACAATAACAAAATGGAAGCTTTTACATTTCGCCAGAATTTATACTAGATTTATGGGCCCCAGTGTGAGTGTGGGGGGGGGGTTTCATGTGCTTGTTGATTGCGCCAAATACGTATACACATTTACGTCTGTGAGTGTAGAGCGTTCTTGGGGCATATTTGCACGATTGGGGAACACAAGTCCAAGAAAGACGGATGAGGAAATGGAAACTTTTACGAAGGAAAGGATACTGTGTGGGTTTAACATAAGTTCCCATTAAAATTACTCATACGCCGCGTTTAACCAAATTTGTCACTGTACGTATGAGTAATAAAATGTTAAATTGGTTCAAAATAGTCTCTTAATAACTGGTTTGTGTGATATCAATCGATGACAAAGTAACAATCTATTTTTAACATTTTTTTGTTTTTACTCTCTCTATTAAAATGTTAAGCTTGTGAAAATAGAAGGAATGTGTAAAAAAGTAATCTAATGTTATAAAAAAAAGTTCACTGATCGTATTCTTAATAGAGAAATATTTATTTTGCCACTTTCTATTTTACGAATATTTTCAACTAGATCTATATTGAGATTACTCGAAACAAGGCGAGCTCGACACGTTTGTATTATCAATATTTTATAGTGGGAGATGGATTATTCAGCTTGAAACGCCGACTAGCTCAAAACAAAGGCAATAAACTAAGTATTAAAATAAAAACAAAGGAAAATGAGAGCGAGACAGAGAACCGCTGGTCAACTTCCGCTCGGCATTATCAATGGGTCAGTGGCAGTGGTCAATGTCTGATGCGGTGGGTTGAGGTGCTATAGGGTGCCCTATAATTTCCATCTGCCCCCTTTTCCCCACTCGGCTTTTTTTTTGTCAACATTCGTCATCAACCGTCACATGTTTCGACTGCATGCAGTTTTCTCTCTTTCACTTTGATTTTCCATTTCTTTCTGGCAGAAAGTCTTTCACAGTGGCTTACTCATAGGGGTTTATAAGACCTTTAGAATAAGTGCTCAATAAATAAAAGAAATAGAAATATTGACATATTTCCGATACTTATAATGGACGTTGCTTATCTCTAAAAAGAGAAAATATAATACCTTGTTACAACGAAGCCCCTTGTAAATATCATACTTGCGCTACTTCTATAGCCATTTCTTTGTTTAGCAATTTGTGCAAGTCACTTTTACCTTTGTCTCACACTTTGCTCTAATTTTAGGAACACGCAATTTTTGCATGCACCCCCACAAATAAGGAAAAGTACCCAATACCACCGGGAAAACACCCACACAATGATAAACAAATTTATGTTGAGGTAGCCGCAGAGCCAAGTGCAAGTTCCTTCGACTTATTTATAGTGCCCCCGTTTGGTAGGGGAATACTAAAATAAATAGGTGCACAGAAAAAAAAAGTATTTATTGATTCTTTTAAAATTTACAATGATCTTGATAAAAAATATTAGTAAGGGTCTGGGATAACTTACATGTAGTAATACCAATTTTTGATAATACATTTTAAGCTTTCAGAACCATACATAATAGATTTTTTTTCAGTGTACAAAAAATGTCAGCATGCTAGGTATTGAGGATTCGATTCTACCTTTTATTTAGTATTCATATGCCGGAATGTTTAGCATAGCATAGCGAATGTCTGGCAATTGATGATATAACACGCTCTGTCGCGTTCAGTTTGGTTTTTGTTTTGCTTTTTATACTTTATACTTCTTATAC